ACACTGAATAACTGCACAAATTAATAAGCATGCCGCAAATAAACCTATTTTTTTGTTCTCCGAAGGCAAAATATTTCCTGTTGCGCACATCAAACAAGTCAATCCAAGACTAACGACATGGCAATCAGCTGCTAAAATATTCACTGCTAGTATTAGTGGAGAGAAATGGTGCACCTGCGTGTAAGGGAAATGAATGCAACACGATTATAGTAATCAGTCATTAGCAAATGTTGTAGTTCGTTATTAACACGTTAAGCGCCCAGTCAGTCACTGGTGACTGACACTATACTTTCCACCTGGAAGACAAAACAGGCTGGGCCCAGCTTAACGTAACTAGAGGCCTGGTGCACAAAATTCATGCACGGGTAGGGTCCCTAGGCCTGGCGATCAGGGCCGATCTGTGGGGCGACCAGCGGGGCAATCATGGGGCCCCTGCTGGCACCCACCTTGGCTGGCCTGGGGCCTGCGGGCTGGGGGCAGCTGCTGTGTGGAGCATCTCTCTCCTGGTGGTCAGTTTGCATCATAGGGACCGTTCGTTTCACCGGTCATTCTGCTGTTGGTCGATTTGCATATTAAGCTTTTATTATATAGGATTATGTATAACAGGATATTGTAAAAATTAATTTACAAAATTTTTATTAAAATGTTTCTTACATAACATTATATTGGCTGGACCACAAAAATATTCGCTGTGGGCCACATGGGGCGATGGGCCGAGAGTTTGACATGCTTGTGCTAGAAGGACAGGGATGAGGGGAATGGTTCAGGCACAGGGAACAGCAAATTAGAAGCTTCCAAGGTGAGAGAATGGGTGGCACATTTAAGAAACAAACAAACAAAAAAAGCTGGGTATGGTTGGAGCATACATTCTGGGAAATTGTAGCGATTAAGCAGGAATGGAGGGAGGGGGTAGATGGGGGGCCTTGCTAAGGAATTTGGACTTTTTCTGAGTGCAAATGGATGCCATTGAAGGTGTCTAAGCAGGTTGGTGACCTTCAGACTTGTTTACTTTAAATTCAGATTTGAGCCACCTATCACGTATGACTTGGAGGTTATCAAAGGAACCATCGGGGACAGCTTCAGCATTGCAATCGTTGGCTTTGCAGTGGCCTTTTCGGTTGCCAGCGTTTATTCCCTCAAACACGATTATGCGATTGATGGCAATCAGGTAAGTGTACAGCCGATGCTGGGTCTAATTCAGCATCTTTAAATAATGTTTCACGTACACAATACCCATGGCGCTGCTCCTAATGAAGATCCCTTCTCGTCCTCTTGTCAGGAGTTAATAGCCTTGGGAGTGAGTAACATATTCACTGGATCATTCAAAGGATTTGCCGCCAGTACCGCCCTCTCCAGATCTGCAATTCAAGAAAGTACTGGAGGCAAAACGCAGGTATTTCTGGACCTTTGCGTGGAAGGCCATCCTAGCTTAGGCCCCGGGGAATGCCAGACCGTGGGAAAAGTTGATTTTGTGCTGGGAATGTTTTCATCTACACAGGTTGCTGGGATTCTCTCTGCTCTCATCGTGCTGATTTTCATTGAAAACCTGGGATTTCTTCTGGCGCCACTACAAAAGGTACCAACCCTCCCTCTTTGGATGCTATCTCTCTCCTGTGGGACCCTGGTTCCTAAACTCTCGAAACATAAACCAAACGGGAATATGAGGTAACTGCAAACCTTCGAGCACTCTTCTCAGCCGGTTCTCTACGGGCCGTAAGTATTTCTTCTTCCCCTGGTAGCATTTTGTGAATGCTTGGAATGCACATGCCCAAAACACCGTATCTACTCTACTCTTCCCATGTTCGTAGCCCGGAATATACTTGATGTTTAGACAGAAAGACACCCTGGCACAGCGGCTTCTATAATATGAATTGACTGAGGTGAAGATTTTCTTAAAGGTTAAGGTAATCAGGGCGTCGACCTAAGTCAGAGAATGGTGCTGCCAGCCACACAACCTGTTCTCAGGCATCCGCCCTGCAGCTCCCAGGGTTTGGTTTGACTCCAAGACCAAAGCTGTCAGATTGCAGGATGGGAGCAAACAGCCAAATACACTGGGGAGGGTGCCTCACGCTCCTCTGTCCAGCCCTCCTGAACTGTAAATGTTGAGGCTTTCCCTGCAGCGCCCAGATGGAAAACATAACAGCGGACTCCGGAAAGCATGGGCTCTCTAGGAAGCCAGACAATGGTAAACATGCAGTTCTTTATGGTGTGTATAGGATTGTGAGGGAGTGTATGGAGCACTGGCTCTAGAGTCCTGTAGACCTGCTTCTAATCCTGGCTCTGCCACTTGTTGTCTGTGTGCTTCGGGGCAAATTACTTAACTTCTCTCAACCTCAAGTTCCCCCCCCAAATATCCTTGGGTGAGGATTAACAAAAATACTAAATAAATAAATAAATGCAAGCACACACCGCCCCCTGCACAGAGAATTCTGCCCTATTGTGCTTCTTCCGGGTGCATTCTTGAGCTTTCCCTCACCCACATCAACTTGGAGAATGAAAGAAACAATTGCCATATAAAACCATAGCTCTCCAGTGAATAAGCAATGCCCAGAGACATTGTCCAGGATTAATCAGAACTCCTGCTATAAAGGATTCACGTGGTGAGTTCTTAGACCATTGTTCTGTAATGTCCTTGTTTCACCCGAGTAGCTGCTTTGCTTTTTTTTTTTTTTTATCACAGGAGAACAAAATAACCCACAATGATAGCTAATAATGAATGTTTCTTGGGTGCTTTCTAAGTATCGGCAGAATTTTATGCATTTTACATGTATTTCGTCCTTTTTATCAATGATACTGTGGATACCAGATAAAACTCCTCTCTACGGCTCCTCAATGCTCTGCAGGCTTTGTTATTTAAGGGCGCTATTGTGTATGTAATTCATTTCAAATGGTTTTCCCTTGGAATTCTGACCAGGTGGGAAATAATGCCTAATGAAAAGACAACTATGTCTCTTCTGCAGGTGGCACTGGACATGCTCAATGCTAAAGTCCCCCAAACAATAAGCAGGAGGCTTATTACAGAGGGTCTTATGGAACCCTCCCCCAGCTACCATGGTGATGACAACTTTTTTCCCTAAATATATCTTTATTGATTTCAGAGAGGAAGGGAGAAGGAGAGATAGAAACATCAATGAGAGAGAACCATTGATCGGCTGCCTCCTGCACGCCCCACACAGGGGATCAACCCACAACCCAGGCATGTGCCCTAACCGGGAATCAAACCATGACCTCCTGGTTGGTAGGTCGACGTCAGCATGCAAATTCCATAGCCCATTCGGAATGGGACAGCTTGAATTGGGGGTGAAGGCTAGGGGCACACATCTACCATTGTGTTAAAATGTAAATAAGAGTCTGACCAGCATGGCTCAGTGGTTGAGCGACGTTGACCTATGAATCAGGAAGTCATGGTTCAATTCCCGGTCAGGGCACATGCCCAGGTTGCAGGCTCAATCCCCAGTTGGGGATGTGCAGGAGACAGCCGATCAATGATTCTCTCTCATCATAGATGTTTCTATATCTCTCTCCCTCCCTCTCTGAAATCAATAAAATACATGTAAAGAAAAAAATCTAAGAAAGGGAGCAAACTTGGCTAGTCGGCATGTTTCACCTTAACTGGCATCATTCCCTGTAAGACGAGTAATCTCACTTGGGTATGTGAAGGAAGAACCAGGAGCCCAAAGTGCTGCTGTAGCAGAGCTGCGTTTTCTACCCAGATCTCTTAGCAAATGTACTATTCAGTGGTATCTGCATCAGGACTGTTTAAAAGAGGCTATGTTACTGGGTGGTTAGTACTGGCTTTGGAAATAGTCATTCATTAGCTCATCCGCTCACTCACTGAATAATTATTAAGCCCCTCCTGGATATATTCACCGTGGTCAGTTCTGGGGATACAGCAGGGAACGTGAGAGATGTGGCACACGCTGTCCCAGAGAGTCTGCCTCAAAGACGCGTTCACCTCTGCAGCCTTCAGCTTCCTGTTTCAAAACGGCACGATTGCTGAGCATCGTCGAAGTTTTGAATTCTTATTCCAGGACCTCAAGCTCCCCAAACTTGTTTTTAAACAAAGAGCAACTCCCTCCCCCACCTTCAATAAGTAGACACACAGTAGCCTCTCGCTGATTGAGAAGAATTTATATCTGTCATAGGTCTTAGGACCTGCCTTTCTCTGTCCCAAGGTATAGGCTGGTATATGCTGTCAGGTCATCGACGCCACTGTCACTGTGGTGGGGAAGGTCTGGTGTGTCTTGCATGGCACTGCCACCAGACAAGGGTGTACACTTTGCTTTGAGGCCCTTTAAAGGGCTCACTTATCTACAGCCTTCACCTTTGCTTCAGGGTGGCTTATTTAGTTATCTGAAAGTACATCTGCCATTTATGTCTCTTACAGTCTGTCCTGGCAGCTCTAGCACTTGGAAACTTAAAGGGAATGCTGATGCAGTTTACAGAAATACGAAGACTGTGGCGGAAGGATAAGTATGATTGTGTAAGTAGAGGCAATGGCATTTGAGAGAAAAATCAGGATGGCACTTCATGCTGAGGTAAAATGCCTACTTATATTGTAAACTCTGAGAAATTTTGTTCCTATATATCTGTTAAAGTGACTTTAGTTTGTGTTATTTACTATCTTTAAACAGCCCACTCTAATGATCATTCTCTGGGATTTTCATTTAAAAGGGTGAGCTTCTTGCAAGTAGGAAATGCTCCAGGACACACTAGTAGATCACTTCCTTAGATCTGTGCTTAAAATCCCTGCAGTCCTCCCAAATGCCACAGAAACTCTGAAGTTCGGGGTATGCATTGCTTCTGTTCTTCATCACATCATCTGTTAGTTCCCAGAGGATCTGTGAGAAACTTAAATTCTGAACAATCTTTTGGAAGTGCTCTATAAAAGCTCCCCTTGCTCTCAGCATGCCTTGTTGTGAGAAGCAGAGCCCATAATTATATCAGGGTCAAAGTCTGTGGCATAAGAACGCTTAACATACCCTCTAGTACTTTACAAGCAAAAGGTAATAAACTACACCTGGTTTACTTTTTTTTTTGCTAATGTCCTTGCTAATCTTCTCTGTATCGTTCCAATTTTAGTATACGTGCTGACGAAGCAAGCACTACACTTGGTTTACTTTTGTTCCGGCTAGATAATTGTTGAGGATTTTCACAGCCCTTTGGCATACTGATTCTTTTTTTTCTTTATTGATTTAAGAGAGGGAGGGAGACAGAGATAGATAGAAACATGAATGATGAGAGAGAATAATTGATCCGCTGCCTCCTGCACACCCCACACTGGGGATCAAGCCCACAACCTGGGCATGTGCCCTGACCGGGAATCGAACCATGACCTCCTGGTTCCTAGGTCGACGCTCAACCACTGAGCCACGCCAGCCGGGCCATACTAAGATTCTTGGAGAGATCATCACTATGAATAAAACCAGCAGACCAAAAGTATAATATGCCCACTAACCTGCTCATTTTAAGGAACAGCAGCTGGTTCTGGAATTTTAGCTGTGACTGCTAGACTCAATCATTTTCTTGACCAGGCCGGGGATGGGATTAGCAGTGGATTCACTCTCTTGGGATTTTTAAAAAATATCTTCTTGTGTTTTCTGTGGTTCAGAACCTGAGCCAGTAGAAATGACCTCTGGAGGCAGGACCCTTCTCCTGTATACTTCCAACTTCTGCTGTGTTCCCTGGAAGTTCATGCTTTCTCGAAGCAATGAACCTACCAGGTAACACATTGTGCTTGAATCAGAGTCAATTGAGTGATTCCCAAAGTGGGCGCTACCGCCCCCTGGTGGGCGCTGCAGCGATCCAGGGGGGCGGTGATGGCCACAGGTGCATTTGTTTTAACTTTTTTTGTATTACCTTTCTATTCTGAGTTCAATAAATGGTTTCCTAATTTCAAACTTCAATGTTTCTAATTTACACCTTTCTTTACTATATTTTACGAAAAAGGTAGAAACATTAATACATATATCTTTCTGTTTAATTAAAGTTTTAAAAAAAATTAATTTCCAGGGGGCGCTGAGTAATATTTTTTCTGGAAAGGGGGCGGTAGGCCAAATAAGTTTGGGAACCACTGGTGTAGATGTTGCTTTCCTTTTGCAGCTCATTTGGATCATGACCTTCATCTTTGTCACTGTCCTGGGACTTGCGTTAGGCCTGGCAGCTAGCGTGGCGTTTCAGCTCCTGACCATCGTGTTCAGGACCCAATTGTGAGTGATTGTCTCGCTGTGTCCGTGCAGACTTTGGCCTGCCAGTGTTGGGAGAAAAAAAACTTGTCGCTGATTAAGGGGAGAGTAGTTTAATGGATAGGCAGGCAAATCTATCAAGATTGGCCAGTCTGTTCTTCCTCAGGTTGCTCACCCCAAAGGACAATAGAATGGCCCAAATTAAAGCATTAGCCTAGGTCTCTCCAGCTGTTGGTCTGCTCCCTGCCTGCACTCAAATTCAAAGAAATTATAGAAATGTATATGCCTTAGATCAGTGGTTCTCAACCTCGGCTGCACATTAGAATCACCTGGGAATCTTTTAAAAATCCTGATTTCTGGGCCTCATCCTCCGGAAATTCTGTTTCTTTGTTATGGGGCGAGGCCACAACATTAGTAACAAAGAAACAGAATTTCCGGAGGATGAGGCCCAGAAATCAGAATTTTAAAAAGATTCCCAGCCGAAACCTGTTTGGCTCAGTGGATAGAGTGTCAGCCTGCAGACTGAAGGGTCCCAGGTTCGATTCCGGTCAAGGGCATGTACCTTGGTTGCGGGCATATCCCCAGTGGGAGATGTGCAGGAGGCAGCTGATCGATGTTTCTAACTCTCTATCTCTCTCCCTTCCTCTCTGTGAAAAATCAATAAAATATATTTAAAAAAAAAAAGATTCCCAGGTGATTCTAATGTGCAGCCAGGGTTGAGAACCACTGCCTTAGACTATTTAAATTGGGGAAATGTGTTACTGAGAAGATGGTGAGATTCTCCATGTCTAGTGGAGTATTCTTCCTCTTTATAGGCTGTTAGATTGTACTCCCACCTGAAAAGCATGGAGCTGACCTAAGAGAATTTCTGAAAGGCCCCTCTCATCCTAGAATGCCACAAAAACAACAACACTTAGAATGATTGATTCTTAATGGTCATCCAGTCCAAACATCTTTTTTATTCCACTCAGCCTAAGTTGGATTATATTGTGACAGAGATATAACACTTCTTAGCAGCTAAGCAGTTCCATATCACAGTGTTATCATAGTTTAAGTTAATCCTTGACTGATGGAATGCATTTATATTGCAATGTTCCTGCATTCATTGATTCATTTATATTTTCATTCATTTCTTGGGGACTCACACCAAACATAGAAACAAACTGAGTGGTCACAGGCAAATCATCATACTTCCCCATGTCCACATCTGTACAACTGAGTAAACATGTCTGTCTTTTTCACCAAATAACTGTGATATTCAGAATCAAAACAGCAACACGAACAGAAGCTTTTTGTGAACTGGGATATGGTAGGTGGGAGGTACTGTCTTAGGAGCTGTGGCAGAATAAGGAAAACCAGGTGTTGGCCCTCCATGGTCTCTAAGGGCATAGTGAATCTTTCACATTTTTTAAAATGAACCTGCTTTGGGATGCTAGCAAAACATCAGTGTTAGCTTTCTAGGCCTCCCAAATATGTATGCATGATTTATGTGGCGTTCATTCTCCCTACAGTCCGAAATGCAGCACACTGGCTAGTGTTGGACGGAGCAACATCTACAAGAATAAGAAAGATTACTCTGACGTAAGGAAGATTCATTTTTTACTTTGATTTGCTAAGTTATATTAATATGAATCCACTGGGCACCATCTAATATTACGTCTCTGCCTTACAGATTTATGAACCAGAAGGAGTGAAAATTTTCAGATGTCCATCTCCTATTTACTTTGCAAACATTAGTTTCTTTAAGCAGAAACTTATTGATGCTGTAAGTTTAGGGGTTATTAATTTTTTTTGTAATTCCACCAGATATCTAGAAATGAAATGTTTGTTTTGTAACAAGAGAAGGTCATTGACTTCACCTATGTTGAGGCTGGGTTTTGTTAATGTTTTTGTATCCCATATTTTCCAATATGTTGGAAAATAAGATTTTTTGAACAACTTCCAATATACAGTCACCTTTTATTAAATTCTGATGCAGAGTAAAAAGATCACAATGAGATTTGGGGCTACTGGTTTTTCATAGATATTGTCCTACAGATTTTCCTGAGGAATCAACTTCAGAAAGAGAAAAAGAGTGATATTTAATATTTGGCTGTATCATTAAAGAGATTCAGAATAGCAAACAAATATTTATAATATAGATGAAATTAATAAATATAACACAAATGAATATTTAATATGAAATAACAACTGAGTGTCCTGGTGGCCTGTAGAGAAGATGACAAAGAAGCAGTCTTTAAGGTTAAGAAACAAAAGCTCAGCATTTACTCTTGAACCTGCCTTTTGATCTACTCTGTACTTTGCATAGAGTTTCTGCCTTAGCCCTCACGATTATTATTAGACTAGAGGCCCTCGCAGCAGCAGCCCCAGAAGGACGTCCAGAAGTACATCTGGTCTAATTAGCATATTATGCTTTTATTATTATAGATTGGTGTGCATCAAATATTTTTCTACCAAATTTTTTTACAATAATGGATCATATTGTGTATATGGCTTTATATACTGTCCTTTTCACTTAATCTAGTATCTTTCCATCCAACTACTTTTTTGGCCAACTTTTTTTAAAAAAATTACATAATTTGACTCTCCTTACCTATTACTCTGGAGCTATATGTTGCCACAATAAAAACACATTTGTTTTGAAAAGGGGAAAATGAAGGTTATCCTCTGGTTATTATAAAATAATTTAATTATAAGATAAATAAATTATAAAATCACATAATAATAGATATTATAAAATTTAATCATATGCATTTTAATAGAATAAAATTATATAGAAGCAGAATACTAATTAGATGCCACCCATATTCATTAAATAGAAAATCCTATATAATAAAAGGGTAATATGCAAACTGACCCTAACAGTAGAAAGACTGGGAATGACTGGTCACTATGATACACACTGACCACCAGGGGGCAGACGCTCAATGCAGGAGATGCCCCCTGGTGGTCAGTGCGCTCCCACAGGGGGAGCTCTGCTCTGCCACAAACCAGGCTGATGGCTGCCAGTACAGCAGTGGTGGTGGTGGGAGCCTCTCCCGCCTCCTCAGCAGCGCTAAGGATGTCCGACTGCAGCTTAGGCCTGCTCCCTGCTGGCAAGTGGACATCCCCTGAGGGCTGTCGGGCTGCCAGAGGGATGTCTGACTGCCAGCTTGGGCCCAATCCCCCAGGGAGCGGGCCTAAGCCAGCAGGTGGACATCCTCCGAGGGGTCCCAGACTGCAAGAGGGCATAGGCCGGGCTGAGGGACCCCCCGAGTGCACAAATTTTTTTGCACCAGGCCTCTAGTAAATAAAATAAAATCCCTTAAGAGTTGTGTGGACCAAAAATACAAACAGATTCAAATTAGAATTTAGGCCCATTCATGGATCATTTATGGACATATCCTGGATGGTACACAGGTTTTTAAACATTAATCATTGCATACAGGCTGAGCAGACCATCAGTTTGACACAATGCTCTCACTGATGTTGTTTGAACCACTTACATTTTATTACCAATATATGTCTCAATTCCTTAACCTACCCTACTTAAAATCATTAGAAACATGCTATATAAGTAGCAGAATATTCAATACTGTTGTAACACAACAATGGGTTTTTCAGGTTGGCTTTAGTCCACTTCGAATTCTACGCAAACGCAATAAAGCTTTAAAGAAAATCAGAAAACTGCAGAAGCAAGGCCTGCTACAAGTGACACCAGTAAGTTTCTTGACCGCATTTCTGTGTATTATAGCTAAAAGCTCAGTAAAATGTAGGTCAAGATGTTGGTTCCATTCTTTTGATATAAAATGCCAGATAAACAAGGTATTTCATGTGCCAATTAATGTGGTATTTTTAAATAGTATCTTTGAGGCTCTCCTTCAAATTTTATCCTCCTAGGACAATTTGTATTATCCAAAGAAAAGAGTTTACAATCTCATT